CAGGAAAGTGTCCAGGTGGGTTTGAACATCTCCAGAGAAGGAGACTCCACACCCTCTCTGGGCAGCCTGTCCCAGGGCTCCGGCACCCTCACAGGAAAGGAGTTTTGCCTTAAGTTTGTGGGGAACTTCTGGTGTTCCAGTTTGTGCCCATTGCCCCTTGTCCTGTCACTGGGCACCACCGAGAAGAGCCCAGCCCCATCCATTTCGCCCCCACATTTCAGATATTTACAGACATTGATCAGATCCCCTCTCAGGCTGCTCTTCTCCAGGCTGAACAGTCCCAGCTCTCTCAGCCTCTCCTCACACAGGAGATGCTCCAGTTACACTTCAGTTCATTGAGATGTGGGGCTCCCTTGGTGCTGCAGCTCTGCTCACTGAGGAGCTGGGTGTCCTCTGCTGTCAGCTGTGCACGCTGTGAGTTTCTTCCCCAGGAAACTGGTTTGGTAGGGACTTGCCCATCGCATTTCTCTGGCTGGCATGTGTTCAGTTGTGCACCAGGAATCTGATTTCTGACACCTCACCAAACAAGATATCCTTTTAGATCTCCCTCTTGTCATTTTATTATAGCACACACGGAATCATCATTGCCATCTTTCTGGGCAGAGGTATGTCTTCCTTGCAGAGAAATGTGTAAAGCTTCCCAGTGGTGACCTGTCTTCTGCAAGGTAGAAAGTGGCAGATCATCATTTACCAGAAGCTGTGTGTGTTTCTGGGGTTGCAAGTGCTGCAAGAAAACCAAAACCCCACAGAAATTAAGGACTGTTCCCCTAAACCCTCATGAATTCTTAAATCCAGAGGGTGTTCCAAAGGCACCCTTGGGAAGTGCTGGGGTACTTAGTATGTGCCTGGAGGTGAAAGGAGGTTGTCTTCTCTCAGCTCCTTCCTGTCAGCGTTTTTTGGTTCACTTTTCGTACACTGAGGCTGTGCTGAGACAGGTATGAAGAGGAAGAGCCCGAGTCCTGCACGCCGAGTTTAGGGCAGTGTGAGCTGCTCCTGCCCTCTCTCTGCACAACTTCTCTGGTGCAGATTTTGGTTCCTGACTCCTCATCTTGCCTTTTTTTCCCCCAGGCTTTGTTCCAGTTATCCCCAGAAGCTGCTGGTCCCTGTCTGGATCACCGATAAGGAGCTAGAGAACGTGGCTTCATTTAGATCATGGAAGAGGATCCCTGTGGTGGTGTACAGGTAAACACAAACCCAAAGCAGTGCTGTCCCCCCAGCCCACAACCGCTGCCCTTGTCCTCATCGTCTTGTGCAGGGCACTGTGAGCCAGGAGAGCAGAGCCTGCGTGTGGAGCAGGGCTGACAGCGAGAGCTGCCTGCAGGGCCGCACGCTGTGTGGCCTCACCTTTTGCCTCACACCCAAAATCATGCAGCTCTCGGGACTCCTCCTGCTCCCACCACACACATCAGCCTCTCGGGACACTCAGGCTGCGACAGCAGCGCAGGGTGTTCTCTGGGAGGGAGAAACACCGTTCCAGTCACTGCTGCTTCTCCCCTGCTTCGGGTTGGAGCTGAAGATGTGGGTGACTCTCCTCCCATGGGAGATGCAGCAAGGACGCTGTGTCGAGTTCATGTTCTCTTTCTTTGAGTTTCAGAAGTTTTTCACAGATTGGTACTTGCCAAGCTGTTACTTTGAAAAGAAATCTGGGCTGAGATGAGCCTGCTGTGTGGCCCTGCTCTCAGCTAGCTGGTCAGGCCTGGACATACCTTTTAATATCCAAGTGCAAATCACTTCTGGTTTGACAGAGTTCTGAGAGTTTGACAACATTTAAGACAGGGATCTTCTGGAGAGAGTCCAACAGAGGCCACAGAGATGATGAGGGATCTGGAGCATCTGGCTTTTTGCTACTCTCACAATTATTTTGTTCCTCATTTTTCTAATATCACTATAATGGTACCCAGTAATTTACAAGCTGAGCTACAACCTTTTGCAACCTGGAATCAGATTAGAAGATGCTGACAAGCGATGTTACAAGACAGGACAAGTGCTTTGCCCGTATGTAGCTCTCATTTTCATGTATGAGATTGAAGCCTTTTGGCCAGGAGGGTCCATGAGGGCCATGGCTGCTTCTGGAGTGCCTTGTGCTGTGTGTAAGGGGAAGGGGAGAAAGGAAAAGCCTCACACTCAGCTCCTCCTCCTTACCCATCATTCAGGAGAGAGTGGACAAGTGGGCTTGGGTGCCTACACCCCAGGGTCCTGGTAACCACAGGACTGTCGTAGACTTCAGAGCTTTTGGAGAACAAGGCTGAATTCATCAGGTAACAGTCAGATCTGTAAAACACGACACCAAAGGCACAGCATTATCAGTTTGCTTAAATAAATAAAATAAAATAAAATTAATTTAGCTGTTAAGAAAGCAGAAATTCACGTCTCCATCTCCAGGTCCTCGGTGGAGATGCACAGTGGAGGTGCAGGAGCCTCCAGGCACAATTCAGTTTTAAAATAACACAGAGGACGCAGTTAATGATTTAGCTGACTGCAGAGGCAGACAGGCACTGTGTGCCGGCTGCTCCTGGTTATTGCTCTGTCTACACAGCCACCTTCAGTAGACCTTGGGACAGTGTTAGCCAGAGAGCTCCTCACAGACATCCACCACCACCCTTGTCCGTGCTCACGCTGCAGCGGCTGTCAGGGAAGCTGTGGGCAAAGACTGGACGTGGCTCCAGCCCCATGGCTGAGCTCTCAGGCTTCTAGATCATGTCAGAGCGAGCCAGGAGCTCAACCCAGAGACTCAGGAAATGAAACCACTCCCATACATGCTTGTGTGGTTGGACTCAATGATCTTAAAGGTCTTTTCCAACCAAAACGATTCGGTGATCTCAGTTGGGAACCTTTAGGTGACAGCTCTGTAAACCCCCTCTCAGCTCTTTCTTGTGTTTTAAGCCAAGCTCCTTGGCTTTACATAGAGGATGAGCACTTCTGGCCAGAAAATAACAGAGAGGGGACTTGGGAGATACTGGTTGATGCTTTCTGGGTGATTGTTAGGGGTTAAATGGCATGTACAAACACGATGGGCTCTAGCCTTGTGCTCTGAATGAATCTGGGAGTAAAACTTCAGCTAATAAACGACAAAGCCACCTCATACTCCAGCTTTGGATTCTGAAAGGATCTTCAATCATTAAAACTAAACTGAGGATCCCTGAAGAATAATTTTGTCCACGTGAGATAAAACACTATGGCACCTTCTGCCATTCTAGTTGGAAGAAAGGAGCTTTCTTCTTTGAGGAAAACTTCCACCAAAATCCCCAGTAAGAAAAAAACCCCTGAAATGCTTCATACGCTCGTGCTGGGGAGATTTGCAAGAGCTGCAGAGTCAAGCTCTGGCTCTTCCCCTGACCTGGGAAGCTCAGTTGTGGTTTTTGTTGGTTTGCTGGCACCTGCTCACCTTTCTGCTCGCTGCTGACTTCATGCTGATCGATGCTGGCCATATTTCCTTGTGTTTATTGCCATGGCACTATGTCTCTTGAAACTGGCTATCTCGAGGCCACCCTCTGCCCGGCATTTGTCACAGTGCTGAGAAGTTTGTGCTACCAAGAAGTTTTCTGAATTTAACAGGACTCTTTGGCAATGTTTGTAGCTGTGCACGGAGCAGGCTACCTCTGACTTCCAGTGGCCTACACAGATAAACTCTTTCTCTACCCTCTGCACCCCAAACCAGCACCATCCCATCCCAGCCTGCTGGGAGCCGTCCTGGCACAGCTCCTGCGTTTCACACACACGTGCTCAGCTGCAGACTGGGAAGGTGCTGGTTGGCCCAGACCAAAAACCATGGGTGTGCTAACGACCAAGCATGGATCACAGAATCACAGAAGGTTGGGGATTGAGAAGAGCCTGGCTCCATCTTCCTGACATTCACCCTTTACATATTTATAAACATTAATGAGGTCACCCCTCAGTCTCCTCTCCTCCAAGCTAAAGAGCCCCAGCTCCCTCAGCCTTTCCTCAGCAGGGAGATGCTCCACTCCCTTCATCATCTTGGTGGCTCTGTGCTGGACTCTCTCCAGCAGTTCCCTGTCCTTCCTGAACTGTGGGGCCCAGAACTGGACACAATATTCCAGGTGTGGTCTCACCAGGGCAGAGTAGAGGGGGAGGAGAACCTCTCTTGACCTACTAACCACCCCCCTTCTAATGCACCCCAGGATGCCATTGGCCTTCCTGGCCACGAGGGCACAGTGCTGGCTCATGGTCATCCTGCTGCCCACCAGGACCCCCAGATCCCTTTCCCCGTCACTGTTCTCCAAC